TGAACTCGTCAGTGTGTTATGAAATTAAGGAGTTTTTATTAGGTCTCCTGATTGTCACTCGAAGCTCATGGATGCTTCCCTCAATTTTTGGTCTATTGCCCCACATGGCCCTTGCACTGTATGTTGTAGATAACTCCTATGTTGTCTTCTATGGCTGTTGGGTCTTTGGGTTTGCTTAGGAAAGATTGGGATAGATTTCATTGGTTTATGGGCTACCATGATGCCTATGGGTTCTATGTTGGTAGTTTCAGAGATATTTTTGATATTCTTTTCATGAGTTAGGAAGATTTTGTAGTTGTTGCATGGAAAGACACTTTTTGAGGAAGCTGTGTGGTTATTTGTATTGGAACAGGTTATATAGATAGTCTATTTCTGCTTTTTGGAGTTCTGAGTTATTGCAGTGCATTTTTGCCTGTTCTTACACAGCGTCTTTTGTGTGCCTTTGGTGCTGTGATAGTTGAGTACTTAACTGATGTGGGTTGTTTTGTAGTACACCTATGTTTGTAGTTTGCCATTGGTTCCCCTGCTGATGAGTATGTCCAGGAAGGCTCATTTGTTGTTGTCTTCTCCTCTTATCATTCTGATTCCATGGAAGGTATTATACATGGTCTCTAGTTGATCTTTTTTATAATGATGAATGTGTTGTCTACATAACAGATCCATACTTTAGGTTGTATCTGTGGGAGGACTATTGTTTTCAGGTGTTTCAGCTGTGAATCCTGAGATGGCTGATCCTCTGGGTGTTCCTTTGATCTGTTTGAATATTTGTCCATCAAATTGGAAGTAGGTGGTGAGGGAGAGGACACTTAGGTCCAGAAGTCCAGGTATTTGAATGTTTTTGTATTCTGATAGGTTTGGTGTGTAGTGTAGTACTGCTGCAATTGAAATGTCCACCAGTTTGGGGTCTATGTATGTGAAGAATACAATGACATCAAATTAAACCATGATTTCATCTTTTTCAATTGTTTTCAAGGGGACCCGTCTATTCACAAGTTAACACAGCTCTGTGTTCTCCAGCGGGTAGATTGGGCTGAAGTGGAGTTTTACTGCCTGATGGCCTTTGTATCAGTAACTTAAAATTTTAATTCAGGTTCTGTAGGTTTTCCATTCTGAATATATAGTCTTAACATCACCTTTGGCAGGTATCCACGAAGTCCATTTGTAATGTTAATTTAGGGCTGTATATAGTGAACTTTTTAGTGAAAATAGTATTATTATAAAACAAAGAACTGAATACTCTCCAGAACTAGTCTTTTTACTGTTCAGCAGTTCACTTAAAAATAAGGAGCTGATTGTCTATTTTTGTCAGCAAAACTAATTATTGCTCAATGTTGGAAATTTCTTGAACATTTTACAATTGATTTGTGGATATAAAAGCCTTAGAATAATGAACTTCCAGGGACAGGAATCATGCTTTTATCAAATTTGGCCAGGTTATATTCATGATGTTAATTGTAACAGGTGTAGTTTTGTCAACTCTTATGATATATGAACAACTTTTGGACTTTTTTGGTTATACTTTATTTATTTAATTAATTTTTTTGTGTTTGTCCTTATAACCTTGTCCATTCTTCGTTTAGTTCTTTCTCTTTTTGTGTAAATTACTTACTGAATTAATTATAATTTTAAAAATCAGTGCACAGGTGTTCATTGCCCTCCCTGCCCCAGAGTGTGAGGCTCTCATCCATTATATCACCACTCTGGCAGGAGAAAGAAATGAAGAAACTGAATGTTGCTTTTACTATAAATGGGACTTGTGCCTTATACAGTATTCCACCATTGATGAATTTCTTCTTTAATAGGTTTCCTACTTTTTGTAATGAACATATCAAAGAGCTGCATCCTGGGAGGTTTTAATATTAGGTGGGAAGCCTGAAGCCTGGGTTGTACTGGGCCCCTGGCCCTGGGTGAGATGCCTAATCTTACACTTATTCAGAGTCCAGGCATTACAGCAGGAGCCCTCTTGGCATCTTCAATGGATTTAACCATGCAAATGTTTGAAGAAAGCTGTGCAGCTGATCTGTACAACACACGAGGTTGCCTCAGTGGGAGGAGAGGCCACTAATGTTTCTTGAGGGCAGGAATGTAGGATGTCTGCCTCCCTCAGTACTCCAGGAAGACAACCCCTGACTACAACTTGGTCCAGTTCACCAGCTGAGCTTCTTTTCATTGTAGGCAAATGTCTCCACTCCAATGGGCCACTCTTCGCTGCACCAGGAATGCTTTGTCGCTTTGTGTCAATGGTCACTGTGCTCTCTGGATGTTTTGTCCTGGGCTGACTCTCCCCTTCTGAAGGGACCTTGTCCACTGAACCTGGGCTTTTTTATTCATTTCACCAGTGGATGACCTTTTTTTTAACAACTTCACTCCAGGTGGTCCCTGGGTTAAGAACAACTGGGTTACAGACAACCCATAGTTAAGAACGGAGCCTATTGTAGCAAAATTCAAGTGAAATACACAATGATTTGAGTTAAATACACAATGGTTCGAGTTCATTACACAATACTTTTATACAGTATTATACCATAATACTATTCCGGCTTACATACAAATTCGACTTAAGGACAGACCTTGGGAATGGAGCTCATTCTTAAATTGGGGAGTACCTACCTATCATTGGAAACTGCATGCCTTCAGAGATCCACCCACAGAAAGGAAAGTGATTGGGGTGCAGGTGAGATGGGTAAAGAAGCAGGGGAATCCGCCCACTGGGGTCTGTGATGAGTGCCTTCTGGTCAGAAAACCAGACCATCAGTGTGGCCCAACGAGAGGAAGGAGATGAAATCTGAAAGTGATTTCTTAAGTTCATTTCCAGCCCATTAATCCACAAGCAGCTTAAGGCTGTACTGTAACACAGAAAAGCTCTAAGGTTACATAGATGATCAGCCTCAAGGAAAGGTTGCATCAGAGTCTCTTTAAAGGCAAAATGTCCTGAAAAGATTTTTCAGAAGGTGAGAATGTTCAACACTGCACGGCACTCCAGATGAGCAGTACATGCCAAACTATAGAAGTATCCTTAAAACTGGGGAGCTGATAGAGTTTGGGGAGTTTGGGGAGTTTGATGCTGTACTCAGGGAGCATCGAAGACGCCTACGCACACCACTACCTTGAAGAGAAATCCAAAATAAGATCATGTAGTTACTGGCCTCAAAATAGAAGACTGTGGTAGATCTGATGTCAGAAGTACATTACTCAGTTGAGCATATTCCTCAATATACTCAGTATATTAAAGCACTTGACACGTATGGTTCGAATGAATTTAATGGTGTACTTTCTAACAGCAACAGAACCTATTGAAAACGTTTCTGCTGTGGTGACTGACATTTTCTAGAATGAATGAAGTATCCGCTGATACTACAGGAGATGATATGACAACTCTGCTTCTTGAAAAGCTGGAAGATGTGGTAGTTGCAATGAGAGGCCAGGGCTACAATAATCATGTTGGCATGAAAGGAGTGCAGATATGAATCTGAAAGCTAAGCCCTTTTGGTCCCACACCGTTCTCATTCATGGAATTTGTGGGTCAGAAATATTTCATCAGCTTCTGTTGAGGCTGAAGATTTTTTTTTAATGGAATCAAAGCATCTATGTATTTTTCTCTGCATTGTCCCATCAATGGCAAATGCTGATGCAATGTTTGGAAACAACCCCTCCGCTCTGATGAGAATGTCAAGTGGAAGAGATAAAGCCTACGCAACACCAAAGAGGAGTAGCAGATGGTGCTGTAGTTCTCTTTGACAGGAACTGTTCACGGGAGAACAGGACAGAAGGTATCGGAATCACAGAAATATCCCCGTCTTCAAATTACCGGGTGGTTTAGTATTGTGACCTGACATATTGTTTGAAATAAATGTTGTTAGCAAGAGATTCCAAGGGGTTTAAGGTGGGAGACAGCAGTTCACAGGCCAAAGAAGGCAGTTAGGTAAACATAAAAGAGACTCACAGGGGTGTTGTTATTGTGGGGAACAATGATGGGAGATCCCTAGAAGAGTCAGGCTGAGCCCCTGGAGAAAGCAGGCTATAAATCTAGCATATAACTAAAATAAATAACCATTCATCATCAACCTCTCAAGGAAAATTGGAATGACTACATGTGCTAATGAATTGGCAAGGAAGCAGCAACGAGCACGAACAGAAAAAAACAGATTTACACAACACACTGACCAGCTTTAAGACCATAACTAACCATGGTTAAGAGACGCAGCAAACATTTGCCAAACCACCCCGCCAAGCAGTTAACTGCATTTTGCAATGGCATCTTATGCGGGTCAGCCAGCACTTCCTGTTTGGTGTGTGGTGAGGTGCAATTTGTCAATTTTTACATTTGAAAGAACAACAAATCCCGTTTTTGCGGTGACAAATCTTTCACCCGAGTTCAATTGGCAAGGAGCAAAATTAGAGCAACAGAACTGCTACTTTAAAAGTGGTTCCAGCCAATTTTTCAACTCTTTCTTCTCTCCCACTTGATTTTCTCGGGCAAATTATGCCTATTTAACCAGAAAATAGCCATTAGTCCAGGTTCAAAGAAGATTACAGCAAAGAGTAGAATAACCTATGACAAACCATGGTTACACATGGTTAGCACTGCTCTTTAACCACAATTTAACTGATGGTCTGAGTTTGAATGATGCAATACAATCCTATTATCTGGAAGCGTCCAGAATCAAGTCAGGGATTTTTGCATGCGAAAAAAACCCATGTTCTTTTTGCTAAAGAATAGCTGTTCCTTGAGTCTTTGGCTCAGCACTAAATCATCATCATCATCATCATCATCATCATCATCATCATCATCATCTCCAGCCTTAAGTACAACCATTACTTCACAAGTCACAAATATGACTTGCTTTTCGCGTCCACCTCTCTCAGACACAACCCCATCAATCAATCTTTAAGAAAAGAGACACAGAGATACGCACAATGGACCCCAACTTTTCACCCAACCGTTGGTGGGATTTACACAACCACTCCCATAGAGGCATTTGCCCACAAGACCAACTTACCTTGCAGAGACAGTCCGAGCAGCAGGGTGAGAAGACTGTGTGGAAACACGACATCAGCCATGGTGAAGTGGTGAAAGAATGTGCAAGAGATTACTTTCTTGAGCTCATGGCCAGAAGCGCACACCACCCGGTCACTAATTCGACAGCCTCCTCCCCTCCCCAAAGTAGCTGAGACTGAACTCAAAAAGACAGAAATGGGAAGAAGTGAGACTGAATTTCGACATCAAACAATTTTCTGCACGGCATGGTTTGAGGGGGAGGGAGGAGTAAAAGGAGGAGGAGAGAAAGCGTGTAAAGAACATACTTTTTTTTTCCCCTGGAGTACCACCTAACGTGGCCAACTTGAGTTTTACGTATCAGGGTTCGACCTTTAGCATTTGACCATCGGGATTATATGGATTCAATAAAAGCTGACTGAGAGGTGCCGGGGATTTGATTCAAAAGCATCACACATCTTAACGCTCATGTAATGCAAGAACTAGCAGCATGTTTGGGCCAAGAGTCACACTCTTCCTGTGTTTCAGCCTCTGGGGACCGTAGAAAGTGTGTCAGGGGCAGTCACCTCTCTATTTTTTTTTTCCTGTTTTTGTTTTGGGAGGCTCCAAGAGATTTTAAAGGATGCACTGAAGGTTCAACTCATCCCCTTTGCCCCTTTTCGTTGGCTCCAAATCACATTCCCCAAAATGTGATTTTCCTGCTGGCAAATAAGACCAAAGGGTGTTTGAGAACCACAATCAAGGCTTGGGGCCACCCAAGAATTGTGGGCGGACAGTTTAATCTCCTTTGCCTTAATGGTTAAAGATTTTTTTTCTGTAAGGCAGAATTGGGCAATCCATGTGGCCCTGGCAGACTCCAGAACCCCCCAAGACCACATTGCTATCTGCAGAGATGAGCTCTCCTGGCAGAGCTTGCTGATAGGTGTTCATGTGCACGGGAGTGTGTGAGAAGGCGATCATTTGTACTTCTGAACCAGAATTCAAGGGTCGGTGCTGCTGGCAGCCAGCCGAGAAGATAGCAAGCTGGCTGCAGTCCAGTGATAGGCAAACTTAGACATAACTTTTAGAAGTAAAGAGTCCTTTTTCCTTAAAGCTAAAGACAGTAATGGTAACATAGTCAAGGCTTGGCTTGGATCAAGACCAGGAATCCAGGAAACCAGTGTTTCTCAACCTTGGCTGCTTTAAGCTGTGTGGACTTCAACTCCCAGAATTCCCC